TCCCCGGGTGCCCGCGGGGGGGGGGGGGGGGGGGGGGGGCCATCTCCCAGCAGGGTGTTGTAATCAGCAGGAGGTGCATTGCGCGCAGCCACAAAGTGGGCCAAAACACAATTGGTATAAATGGCCCCATTAAGGGCCAAGGAGAGGAGCCACTGTTCAACCACCCTGTACTCGGAAGAACAGTCCATAGACTTGCTCTGATCAGAAAGACAGGGCTTGATCCACCTTGCCAAAGGGGAGAAAGGGTCCATATTCTGAGAACTTTTTTTTTTTTCCTTTTTTTAAATATATATGTACAATTGGTTCATGTTTGGATTACATTTGATTGATCATAACCTTGGTGGTGAATAGCTTTTCTGTGATTTGTTGACTGTTTTACCGATCCCTTGTTAGTGTTACTGGTGACATGGTGAAGAAGGTAGCAGAGATATCAAAGGCCTTGTACTTGGGCCTATAGTTAGGCCTCTCACAGGAGGGTTTATGTGAGCTTGCCAGCAATTCCCCTCTCCCCTTATTGGGCAGCATGTTTTGTGCTGGACCCAGAGCCTCACCCCCTACCCTGCAAGGCCACCCTTTGACTGAAAAAGGCAGCAGAGGGCTACAAACACCTTGGTCAGGTTCAAGTCAATTCCCTCTCCCCTTATTGGGCAGCATGTTTTGTGCTGGACCCAGAGCCTCACCCCCTACCCTGCAAGGCCACCCTTTGACTGAAAAAGGCAGCAGAGGGCTACAAACACCTTGGTCAGGTTCAAGTCAATTTGCAAGTTGGCCAAGGGTTGAATTCTGGCTGCGGTGTTTGGGTTAAGCATAAACCTGTACTAGTACTTCCCTTATCTTATTAGTCTCTTGTAATTTTTCTATCTATCTGATCAAAATATTCTCACACTTCTTTGGCTGTTACGAACATGCTTCAAACACAATGCAAATCTGCTAGGTTTTTTCCTTTTTCAACCTCCCCCTTTTTGAGACAAGTTAATATTTCAGCTGGTGTGGGATATCTAGGTAGCTCCTGATTTTTCCAATTCACAAGGTAGATCACTTGGCCAAAACATTGCAGGGCAGACACTCCCCCTTCCTCCCCCGCCCCATGCCTGCATGTGGCACTAGCTGGGCACCCACTCTATCTTTTCCTCACTATCTTTTTTCCAAAAAGGTATTTTTCACTGGGATCCTACCAGCTACACCAGGTTTTGTGAACTAGTGTGCCCAGTCCTGTTGGAGGCAGTAACCGGTTCCATCCTGCTCTAGGACCCAAGCTCACCGACTTCTGCTGTTTCCCTGACAGGAAAAACTGAAAGGTTAGGACTGTTCCAGACCTGGCAATGCATGTGGAGAAACGAACAGAGCAGTGTGGCAGTCCATTGCTTACATAAAAGTTTTATTGGAAACTCTTTGAATACTTGAAGTACATTGGAGACTACTTCCAAAACAATGCAATTTAGGACCCTTCCCCTTCACCCAAAGCATCTGTAAATCAGCAGCTACATACTGTCCTTAATATAGAACTGAGGACAGCTGCTAAAATAAACAGCCCTCATAACACAATCTGTGGCAGGCCACAGCAGCAGCTAGATCCTTCCTGAAGCAGAACATTAATGCAGTGATTGGAGATCTGGGAGTCTAGATGTAGAAACTAGGTGTTAAAGCTGAGGAATGTCCAGAAAACAGGCACATACCTCAGCCATAAAGAAGATCTTTATTGCTGTGACCACCCAGCTCAACCCTAGCAGCTCACATGGACAAATTTCTAGCCTTTCAAGCAGAAAAAAACCTGCCACACTGAAAGTCTTACTTGTGAGATGTGGGAGCTGTAGCCACGTTAGGAACAACATCAACAAATGAGCATGAGTATTTGGCTCTGGGGCCCGTCTGGATAGCATTAGCAAGAATTGCATGCTTTCTATCAGCTCCACAGCTTTTCAGTGTAGCAACAGGACAGTAGCAGCACTGGCCAGGTGAAGCTCCACCTATTCCAGTCTTCCCTGTGAATACAGTGTGAACCAGCACTTTACTCAGTCTCTGCTGCTTGGCAGCTCAGATAATAGCACTTTCCCAAGCACAACCTGTAAGTTAAGGGAAAGGTGACAGCCCACTACCTGTCTGTGAGCTACTTCCTACAAGGTGGCAAAGACCGACTTCCTGAGCAGAATGGAGAGCCAGGGGATCCACTAACTGCTTGTGATCCTGGACCCTTTTGATACATTTTGCACCTGTACAAGAAAGTGGCTCTGGCTGTTGGGATCAAATATTTGTTAAATGCCGTGTAACCAAAGCCCTCTTGCGAGCTGTTTCTCTAGAAAGCCTTTTCTAATGTCTGTGCTTCTTTGCAAAGAGTAAGGAACTTCTGTATATGATGTTGCTGAAAAGTTGGATTCGTTGACGAAACTAGAAAGGTTCTGGTGGGTAACTCTCCTTCAATGAAGCGCTCACCTGGCGTTTTAGAGCACACGTGACCTCCCACCAAAACACATCACTCAACAAGAAAGCTGGTAAAGTTCAAAGCATGGTATTGCTCTTGATTTACAATAAGCTACCTCCTGAACTCAGTTCCTTGCTCCAGCAGCAGCACAGAGATAGTAGCCTAGAGATTCCCACAGCCTACTGTCATCTGATAGCAATCTCTTTCAATAAGGAATACACTACATTGAAGAAGAAACCACATTTCAGTAATTAGAAGGCTCATTACTCCACCAGTCTAAGGAAATTAAGATGGTTCCTCAGTACAGAGGAAGCCCAATCCCACCTCTGGGGAAAGAAGGGAAAAAAAAAAAAAAAAAAAGTAGTGTTTTAAGACCATAAGGAGGTCTTGCAGTTGCTCACTCTAGTTACATATGAGAGGTGGGGAGAGAACCACAAAAAGACCTACCTTATCTAAGTTTCTGTTTAGTGTCACTATTTCTCCTCCCTTCCTCACATCAGGCAAAGGAGACAACAGCCAAAGCAACCATAGAGCACTGCCAGCCAGTCACACTGCTAATAGCCAGCTCATTACAAAAATAAACTCTCAGCTAATCGAAAGCCAGCTGATTAAAAAGTACCATAAGCCTCCCCAAAAATGTGCTTCTGAGAAGAAGCTGCCTTCTGAATGGCTGAAGAACAGAGCGGATTCATCCATGCCTATCAGAATACAGCTTTTTTGCTAAGTCCCTGCCACTCCACTATACTGATGTGTGCATTTCATTATATCAATGGGCCCTGACTGGATGTAATGGAAACACAGTCCCCAAAGCAGAGTATTATATTAAATCAATCATCAAGTTTGTCTCAGAATATAAACATCCTGGATTTTTTCTGGCAAAGGGAGACCATTCCCACTGGACAGGATTCCATGGCACGCTTGCTGTCTGCAGTGATCCAGGGCAAAATGACCTGCACTACTACATGAAAACAGAACATCTTTCTTTTAAATATAGGTTTCTTTAAAAGCAATAAATATTTCTTGATTCTTAAGATCATCTATTAACCATAAAGCAGCAAAGTTTGCAAGGGTTAGAGGAAAGAATCTTGGACTAAGACTCCTAATTACACAACCCTACAGAAATAGGATTCCTAATATTTACAGTTGCATTTCAAAAGCGGAGACTATGAATTCAGCATTATCCCAGCTGCTACTTGTAGAACTGCCAACAAAGTCAACACTGGTCAACTCAGCATGGCAGAGTTTCAGTACACTCAGGAAAGGGTGGAAAGGAAACATGGAAAGTGCTTCTGTAGTTTCACTCTTGCTTATCAGACAAACATAACAGAAGGCCTCACAGAAAAAGACCATGTAGAGACCCAGTTCCTTGGAAGCAAAAAACAAAGGTAACTTGTATTATACAGGTCCCAGTGTCTCTCGCTGTGCTCCAGGCACTCACGCTGAAGTCAGGATGAAATGCCTCATTCTGTGGAATGGATGTCCTGGACTTGAAGCTGTTGAATCTGCTGAACTCACAGACCTTGGAAACAGGCCAAAGCTTTCTATGGCTCTAACAAACAGGACTGAAGACTGTAGGAAAAACAGTCTATTAGCAAGAAGCTGTATCTGGGGAAATTACACGGTAGGACCTGTAGAGGAAGCATATGGCAGCTTTTCACAAAGCCCCTCCACACAGAACAGAGACTGAAGAGAAAATGAGTTTCATACATTGGAGTTTGACTTCCTGTGTCCCCATTACAGTCACAAATTCAAAACTGAATGTGAACAGGAAAAGCGGTCCAGATCTATGCAGCGGTGTAGCTGAGGAAAACTGGCAGATGAGCTGTATGTGCTGCTGAAGACAGACAGCGATCAAACAAAGCTCACTTAATGGAAGGAAAGAGTCAAATGAGACAAAAGGTGGAGTGGCGGTAAAAGACAGAGATATTTGTTGACGTCATTCTCCAGGATGCCTTGAGGAGGAAGAGCTGTTGCAGCAAACTTGGAAAACAGCTTCACTGCAAGGTTTCTACAAAGGCATCAAACTCTTTGACATTTTTCTCATGGACTGCCAGCTTCTCTGGTAAGGAGTCCTGGAAAGCAAAGAGGGCACAGATCAGGACTCGCAGCAGATAAAAGGATGCTTGAATGTACACCATGAGGCAAAATTTCTGTTTCTGAGTCATACAACCCCTCCCACTGCTCTGGGCTCCCTTTCCCACTCATGCACAAAAACAGGAGTCCTCTGGCAGGAGCTAGCAAGTGACCCTGAAAAGGGTACTCTGCTCAGAGTTTGTTTGTTCTGCAGGAACAGTCAGTGCATTGGGGCCTGGCCTTGTACAATTCCCTCCAGCAGCTGCGGCACAATAACCTGCTCATGTTGCTGCCTTAATCAAGTCGCTTGCAGCTCTCAGCCTTTGATATTCATTTTTCCCCACAGTACATTGCAAGGGCTGCAAGCCCAATACTGCGCTCAGCAGACATCACTCCAAACAACCAGATCAGGTTGTCTAATTCAGACAGTTTTACCTGTGTTCAGGCTGCAAGGTCAGGCCCAGTTTGCCATTAAGCCTGATATGCTAGAAGCAGGATTAGTTTTGGGGGTTTGAATGACAACCAGTTTTCCCCTCCATAGCAAGCAGACTGCAGCAGCTTTCAGATAAATACACCTGTTTCAGAGGCTCAGGTGTACACAAATGGGTACATTTGTCTGGAAGCCTATTAATGAGGGACCACTTTGAACAAGGGTCTCTCTTCCGAGAAGATACTAGCTTGTTCAGAGGAGGAATCGAGAGAGCATTATAAAGAACATGTGATTTCCACAAACTGAAATCTCATGGTTCCATACCAAATCCTCTGCCATGGACTGAGCTCCAATGTCAATTGAGAGGCTGCTGAGTTGAGGTGGGTTCTGAAACTCACGGTAAAATGTCCCCAGGTCCATTGGAAGAATGTCGTCTTTTGAAAATGCTGGTTTCTAGAATCAAAGACACTGCTGTTAATTCCCATTCAGAGACTTGGCTTTCCTTTTGCTCTAATCTCAGGTAAAGACAGCACCTCTTATCAGAAAACATCTTAGCATTACAGCTGTTGCTGCAATAATGCAGATTAAATAACTGAAGCTCTGCCCTGAGCACTCGGAAGAGAGAATTTCCCTGGAATCTGGCTCCTTTAGGCATTAAAGAGAGGAGAGCAAGCACATGTGTTGGTAGGAACTGGAAGATTATTTCGTTTGTAGCTTTTGGTTCAGAGTATCAGTGCCTCTGCAGTTTTGGGACTGTGAACCATGGGTCTTTTACCCCCAGGGAAAATTCTTGTGACATCATTTGCTATCATACCAGCACCTGGAGCCCACCTGAAACGCAGGTGTTGTGTGAGAACACTGATCAGGGCACTTACAAAGTCAATCATAACAAAGTCATCGTGGGTGTTCCCTGTGCTGCTGCCACTGGAGCCCTCCGAGTGTAAGCTGCCTTGCAGAGGAGATTCAGTCTCTGGGGAGTCGGGAGGATTCACCTGCTCAAGAAATCAAAAGACTGTGAGCGCTGATCTTACCATCGAGTCTGTCTGCATATTGTGAGTGTGGGGGCAGTTAGAAGGCTAGGCAATAAGCGCACACTACAGCTGGGGCAGTAAACACATTTCCTTGTCTGGAGAGCCCAAGGGCCAACACAGGAGACTTCTTGAAATCAAACAAACGTGGATAACTAAATCTTTGCTCAGAAAAAGTGCACACAAGGTAAGGAATAGGATGGATGTTGCATGAGGGATGCTGAGAAGGCACAGATTACACCTCTGGAAGGGGCTTACCATGGGGTCGTTATCTTCAAGCTCAACATTCTTGGGAGCAAACATGGCAAAAGGAATGTCTAAGTTGGCCATGGTCACCTGAGGAGATTCAGCAAACAGAATTTCATTAAGATGCTCTGCTTCCCCAGAACAGAAAGGATACTGGAAGTCTTTGTCAGGTCTGCTAAAAAGTGCCTAAGATCACATTGGCAGTTTGCAGGAGGCTGACAACCTCATTTTAAAAGGCATAAAACAGAGAGATTGTATTCAAATGACCTAATAGAGATATGTGCCCTGTGGAGGTAGGGTGGGTTATAGACATCCTATGCAAGACAGGCAAGGATTAATAAACTGCTACAGATTCAAAAAATCCCCCTTCACCCATCCAAAAGGCCTAGAAGAGAGCTTAAAGCTTACTTTGGAACAGCCCTAGGAACTGGGCAGATCTCTGCGCTGCCCTAGCTGAGCTTCTTAAATGATTACTTACTGGTGATGAACTGGTCTACTGCACATCCCTCCAAGGAAGGGAGCCTTGCTATCGATTTCTCGAGTTTAAGAACCTGTGGTAGTGGCAGATTGCTGTGGAACTCACATGAAGCCATGAACGTCTTCCATTTGAAGTACAAATAAATGACTTCCAAATGAAGTCTTCCGGACCCAAACAGGGTCTGGGGTAAGGCGTGGGGTAAGGCAGGGCAAATTTAATGGCTGTCACATCCCAAGTAGATTTTATGAACGATATACTTGTGACAGGACCCTGTAAACAAATGCTGCAGGCAGAAGTTTTTACTCTCATTCTCCTGGATTGCCCTGGCATTGTGGTATTTAAGTTTCCTCTGTGTAGAACTGCTCGGAGAAGCAGGGTATTATGGTGCCCTCTGAGAAGATCTACTGCCAGTTACCTGATTAATGGGTTTGTTGACAAAAGCTCCCACCTTCCGGATAAAGATGGTCTCCAGAAGGTCATGTGGGGAGCCACACTTCCCTTCGCTGCTGTTTGATACTGTTTCTGTGTCCTCACTGAGGGAGGAAGAGAGACTAACTAGTGACACATGGCACAAACAATATAGACAAGTCACATGCTTTACAAAACCCCTTCATTTTTCTGGGTTTACTCCTAGCATTGGAAGGAGGAGAAGAACAGAAGTCTCTGTCCTTGTACTACACCTTCCTCCTCAATCACCAGCATGAAGGGGGAACAGGACACTCATGGAATCAGTTTTTGCCTATAACTGAAAGAAAACTACTTAGCTGAATGAAAAGTTGCTGCTAAATGAAACAGCCTTTCCTTTTGGAGAGGAACTTTAAACTTCAGAACGTGCAATGAATTCACAGCAGTTCCTTTTTTCACAGTAGTTATTTTTTCAGTTTTTTCAGTTTTTAGTTTTTGCAGTAATACAGTGGTCACAGAGGTCTGTCTGAAGGTGTGGGCAAAAAGCAGAATTGTATCTATCACTCAGCTTACAGAGGCAGCAGTTTAATACATCACAGCAGCCACGGCCAGTATGATTAATTCAATGCACAGCTATTAGTTTTTTCTATGACCTTTTTTTCCCTAACACAAGTATTTGTAACTCTTTAAAACACAAAAACTGGTTGAATCTTCTGGCAAGAGTAAGACTACTTACATAAGGTACCCAGGAAAGTGCTAGTGCAACTATAATGCTTTTGGTTTCCCCATAGCAAAAATCTCCGCTCAAGATATTTAACTCAACTATATGAAAAGACAAGAGACACTTAACAAGAAATGAATGTGGCAACATTAAAAAAAAAAATTGAATTAACAACGAGGGAGATGATTTAAGACAATTTGAAGTTGCATTGTTTCCTTTTAAGGAACTTTGTGCCTAAAGTTTTTAAATAGAATACATGAACAGATCTTCAGTAACTACAACTGTTTTCCATAACAATTCACATTAAGTTTCTTGAGAACTTAAGACTCACTCGTGAACTTACTTTATCTTGCTGTTTTACAATTAGCAAAAACAGTGCAGAAACTGCACTCTAAAACTGAGATAACAGAAGATGCATAGATGTTAAGGTGACTAGAAGGTATAAGTAGATGGCTGAGATCATTGTTTGGAGAAAGGCTGAAAATGTCCTGATCGGAGAAAGCT